CCTCCTCCGCATACTGTGTTGCCCACTGCAGCTGTCTGGGAACTGACCTTGTCTGTGAAGACCGAGGCAAAAAAGGCATTGAGTACTTCAGCTTTTTCCACATCGTCTGTCACTAGGTTGCCTCCCTCATTCAGTAAGGGGCCCACACTTTCCCTGACCTTCTTCTTGTTGCTAACATACCTACAGAAACGTTCTTGTTACCCTTCACATCCCTTGCTGGCTGCAAGTCCAATTGTGCCTTGGCCTTCCTGATTACACCCCTGCATACTCTAGCAATATTTTTATACTCCTCCCTAGTCATCTGTCCAAGTTTCCACTTCTTGTAAGCTTCTTTTTTGTGTTTAAGATCACCAAAGATTTCTCTGTTAAGCCAAGCTGGTCGCCTGCCATATTTACTATTCTTTCTGCACATCGGGATGGTTTGCTCTTGCAACCTCAATAAGGATTCTTTAAAATACAGCCAGCTCTCCTGGACCCATTTGCCCTTCATGTTATTCTCCCAGGGGATCCTGCCCATCTGTTCCCTGAGGGAGTCAAAGTCTGCTTTTCTGAAGTCCAGGGTCCGTATTCTGCTGCTCTCCTTTCTTCCTTGTGTCAGGATCCTGAACTCGACCAGCTCATGGTCACTGCCTCCCAGGTTCCCATCTACTTTTGCTTCCCCTACTAATTCTTCCCTGTTTGTGAGCAGCAGGTCAAGAAAAGCTCTGCCCCTAGTTGGTTCCTCCAGCACTTGCACCAGGAAATTGTCCCCTACACTATCCAAAAACTTCCTGGATTGTCTGTGCACTGCTGTATTGCTCTCCTAGCAGATGTCACTATGTGTACAGTCCATTTAAATGTTAATATTTCGTTTGCTCTCTGATTTAAGAGAATACAGCGTAGACAGGGACTGTCTGATTACATTGTTAACCTCTAACAAGATACATGGAAACACACAAAACACAAACATATCTACCAAAACGTCTCTAAGGGTTGAATTTGGGTCATGTATCCTGCAGGATGCTTAACCGTTTCTGGCCTTGCATCACAACATGTTTAACTCTAAGCACTAGAATCATTCCACTGTACTACCTGTGTGAGTAAAACCATCCGCTTGCTTAAGTGTTAGCAGGACTAGGACCATGTAAAATTCCTTCTAAGTTTGCCTTCCACCACTTCATGCCGTATTCTTCTTGCTTTGCACGTGCTGAATTTCCAACTCCATAGCATCTGTGCTTTGCACTATTAATTAGTGTGCAAATGGAAATTCTGCAATGCATTGTCCTGCTTTGCACTTTTCAATGGTGTAGCGCAGATGCTGCATGCGCGCTGCACTATTTTCCCGCGCACTGTTGCACGCAGCGCGGGGTTATTGCTGTCGGTAGCCTGCCAGTCCCTAGTGTGGGTGTCTGCCGCACACTGCAGGCCAACACGTCCTCGCACGCGCCCCCCTGCAGGGTTGTCCCGTTGCACACTGCAGGCGGTTGCCTGCACCGCTTCCTTCGCACTGCCCAATTCCCACTGCCTCGTGACTGTAGCTGCCCGTGCAGTGACAAACGCGCCCTTGCTCGCGTTGCTCGCCCCAGGGACACTGCACCCCTGTCAGCACTGCAGTCACGTGCACGAGACGCTGCACGCTCCCCCGGGCGCTGCAGAGCGGTGCCGCCCAGCCCTGGAGGGGGAGGGGGTGTCGGGTCTGCAGCGAGAGGCCAACGCGCATGCGCCCCCTGCCCGCGCATGCGCACTTGGCTCCTTGTGCCGCCGCCATGCTGACATTAACCCAAAGCAGGAGCCCGGGGGGGCCTGGTGGGAAGGGCCCCCCCCGCGGGCTCTGGTTCTCGTGCCCGGCCGGCGCGCGGACCCCCAGCGGCTTTCCCGGCACCGAGCGGGGGGATCGGCCCCCGAGGGGGGGGAAGAGCGAGTTGGCGCATCACGTGAGGGCGGGGAGCCAATCAGCGCGGCGGTGACGTAGGCGGCGGCTCCCTCCGCCCCGGGATGTGTTGGGCCCCCGCCCGGGCGGGGCGCCGCGGGGATTACGGCCGGGCTCCGCCGGGGGCCGAGGAGATGGGACCCCGCACCCCGGGCCGGGGCTTTGCCGCCCCCCCGGCAGCCCATGCGGTGAGTGCTTCGTGTGCCTTTAACGGCGGGGGGGGGGAGAGCCACGTGGCGTGCGGAGCTGTCAATCAATCGTGTGCCCGCCTTCCTGCTGGTCGCCCGCCAATCGGGGCCGAGGATGGCGGTGATTGACGAGCGCAGAGGGCCTCGCGCCGATCGATGGGTCACGTGGTCTGCTAGTGGGGGACGCCACCATTGGGGGGGGGGAGGTGCTGTAACGAACAGTCTAGAGGGGTAATTAGCAAAAATTAGCATATGTCTTAATAATTGGGGAAAACTGGGGTGGGGCTGAGGACAGGCACTTGGGGGGCTGGGGATTCCTGGGGCAAAGGGGCCAGGCATGGTAAGGGGAGGGGTCACTGGGGGGAAGGGGGCAGTGAG